GCTGTCGTAACAATAGCAAGCTTGTAATTAAACAAAGACAAAACGATAGTTATACTTATCGCACAGTTTTTCCAGTTTTGATTGACAAAAATAGTCCGCATGTTTTTTAATCTACCAAAGATATTCACGTCGTCCCCAGTAACTCGAAAAAGAAAAGAAAGTAAGATAGTGTAAATTCGTTCAATTAGGTTCGATATATCTTCGAAAGACTTCTGAACTTTTCTCTTGAATTAAGAAGCTGAAAATATTTCTGTCTTCCGAGTCTCCTTCCAATATTTCGAAGTGTCGTAAGAAAATATTAAGTTTTTTACGTGGCACAGCGGTATGTCTGCGGACTTACAACGCTAGAAACCGGGTTTCGATACCCGTGGTGGGCAGAGCACAGATAGCCCTTGTGTAGCTTTGTGCATAATTAAAAACAAACAAACAATTTAAAAACAAATTGAGAATTATTTCTTTTACTGAAATGTAAGCTTTTGAAATATATATATATATAATTCTATCTAGAAGCATAGTGACATCACATATAACTAGGATCAGTTTAATAAAGCCTATGAGATGTATTTGAAAACTGCGGCCATATTTCTGTTTTCGCCTATTACTTTTTACTATTATATTAGCACAATGTGCTTCCATATACAAGTACAATTTAAAAGCCCCCCCCCCCATATGGGGAACATATTACATGTTTCTACAGAACAATAGCCTGTCTTGTTCTGAAGAAGATGGACCAATGTCCGGTCGAAACATGTAGTATGTTCCTTAAAATATAACCACTTCATTATGTTTATATATTGTTGTTTGTCAACCCAAAAATATTTAGTATTTGAATTATGACCTGTAGAGAAGAAAATCCAGATGACTTTTGTATTACTTTAATATGGGCGTCCGTGGCATCCTAACATAGCGCACTCTCCAATAAATTACAAAAAAAAAGAAAAAATAGAGATGATAACAACACTTTGAGTTTTTGCTTGCGTTAGAGCAAAACCACATTGGGATGCCTGCTGTGTCCACCGGGAGAATCGAGCCACGGATTTTAGAGTTGTAAGTACGGGGGATACCACTTCGAGAAACAGAAGATAGATACGAAGAACTACCTGACAGAGTCGTTCTATCTGCTGTTTATATGTCGCTTTTCAGCTATCCAGAACGTCCCAAAGTCGAAAACTGGTGAATAGCCAGAACCGAGGTTGCTTATTTTCGTTCATCGCCATATTTCCTCAACAAGCCTAGAGTTTATTTAATTTTATCATCATTTGATAGAGCAAAACAGTGTTCACGATCTGCGACTACCTATTTTATTATTATTATATGCAAAATATATAAAGCTTTATAACTTAGTAACCCATGTACGCCATCTTATAAAAAAAAGAGTAAACAAACGAGTATAAAGAAAAACAAATTATCATTAAGTAAAAAAGCTATGTAGAGCCGGCTACTGAACTTGGAAAGAAAAAAGCAACCAAACAAGATAAGGATGGAACTGGACATATCACTTGATCTGGCTAATGATTATATAACAGACTAAGCCTTCTTGACTTTATATGGAGAATAAACTCCTTACATTACTGACACTGTCAGAACAATCGTAAAATGTTACTCTATTATACAATAGCCATAAAAGTAGTATTCTAAAGGAAAGGTATAACGATGAAAGCTGAGATTCTATTCAAGATAAAATATTTCCAATAACATGTTTTTACATTACAATAACATTAACATAGTCACTTCCATCCTTGTCTTGTTTGGTTCTTTTTTTTCTTCAAGTTGAGTAGACAGTCCTACATAGCTTTTTTTTACATAGCGATAATTTTTCCTTTTATTTGTTAGATAAGCTAAATCGAGGCTTAGTTGAATATAGCGAATATAATTTAGTGTTAAATGAATCGTCTATGAACGATTTGTGTTTATAGAAACCAGTTTTTGTTATTATATCTTTACAAATACGGGTTACTGCGATAGTGACCAATGTGTACGTGTTTAAAATTAATTTTTTTTGTTTCGACATCGGACGATATTACCCATTTAAAATATTCGTAAAACTGTTTTATATATATATACATATATATATAATTGTGTTTGTCTGAAAATGGTTATCTAGTTATGTTTTAGTTTAGTTTTTTGTTGAGCACAAAACTACACAATGAGATAGATATCTGTGCTCTTCCCACCACGCGTAGTATCCAAATCCAAATTTTAGCGTCATAAAGCCTGCAGACTTACCGCTGAGCCAATGGGGAGCATCCAGTTAAAATATAACGCAACTAATCACAATCGTAAGAACTCTAGAAATTAAATGTAACGCTAACTCTAAAACTATTTTATTTAATGTCTTTGCTGTACACCACAATGTCAACACCTGACAACTAAAAAAGCTGAATTCATTAAAGACTCGGATAGTTTTAAAGATTCATGTTACCATAACGTAGCTTGTGGTCAGTAGCTTACAAAATTCCTTAAATAGTTTTTCATGTTGTTTTTTTTATCCCCCGATGAGAAGGTGGTAAGTCTACGGACATACAAAACTAAAATCCGGGGTTCGCTTCTACGCGGTAGACACGTCAGATAACGCCATATAGCTTTGCTCGAAAATAATCATTGTTATTTTTTCCTTCGATACTTATTTCTAAAGTTTAACTTTCTTTCTACTCACACTTAGTATTTAACTTAATGTTTAGCGTATACGTAGAATATTCAAAACAAAAGTACTTTAATGCGCCACCTACGTTAGTTACACTAGTTTTACTTCATGTGAAAATAACGCTTGCAAATTTTAGTTAGGTGACAAAAACTCTAAAAGTTTAAACCTCAACTGCATAACCTAAACAGCTGCTTTCCATTTTCGTATGCTCGTAGCCAGTACAAATATATTTTTGAGCTAAAACGTTAAAAACAATCTAACAAACATAAAAAATAACGAGAAACTATGTTATTAGAGCAGTATATTTTATTCTACACATTGGTTTCCAAATTGCACTAACAGTCATAAAACAGAATACATAGATTTAATTAATTATTTTTTTATTTTTTTTTACATAAGACGAACTACTTAAATGGTACTACTGAATATATTCAAGATAAAATATTTCCAATAAATATATTTTTACATTACAATAGCATTACTATAATCACGTGTACACATTATCTAACAAATTAATTTGTACAGTTACAAAACGAACGAGATAAATCTGTGCCAAATAAAGAAAATAATAAAAATATAAAATAAACATTTAATTCGAAGTACAATAACAGCCCCTTCTACTGTAGGCAAGTGCATATGTTGATAATTAAGTAGTTTCGACCAATAGTATAGAGTCATAAACAAATGTAATTAGCAACTTGATGATGACGCGATACAATGTGTCTAAACGTTGTAATTATCAAAATAATAACTTGAATATTGTAACAGGTGCTGTTGTTGTATTTTTGAATTAATTATTCATTTCAGTAAGTTCCTCACTAAACATAAAATAAGCATTTATTATAAACCAATTTATTGAAAGATATAACTGTCAGTTTTTGTGGCTTTGAAAATCTAAACTAAAAAAAAAAGTAAGTTCGAGATAAATCTTTCATGTCAACGCTGTAATCAAGGACATAAACAGAGATTTTAAAACTTGGATACAATAATTCAAAATATGAAATTGATTCATTTGTTTAAAGTGGAATTCTAACCAACAATAGCAACAGGGTATTTTTATAATAAGTTAGCATTTCTCAAATAAAATCAAAATTTGAAAATTAAATGTATCATACTCACGTCATAATTGAACATTTAGCTAAGCCTAACGAAAGACATTTTCTCCTAACGCAGTGAAAATCAATTCATGGACAAAACGATTTTTTAGAGTGTTCAGTGAAGTATCATCATTATTTTGTTTTTGTCAATAATAAATTAAACTTGAGTTTAAATGCAATGCCCTTTCTAGTAAAAGACAAGCTATAGAAGTAGAACAATTTAATTATTTTATTTATTAAAACACAAAGCAGTTGAACAGCACTTCCACATTAACTAAATAGTGACGTTAAAAAAATTTATATTAATATATTATTGTTGGGTAATTACTTTAAATGCGAGTATAGCGAGATTGTATTTGTAATTTAAGTTTATATATCTAACAAGCCCGTGACTAAAGGAGCACCAAGAATGACGAATATAATTTTTATTAATCTCTAAACGGTAGAACGAATGAGATCCGAATATTCGAATACATTGATCAATCTATGGGGAAAAATATATCTTTAAAATTTTTTTATAACTTTTCATAATTTTTGATGTTATTTGTCGAATGTTATTAACACTAAAAAGTACCATATACACACGTACATAAAACATTATACAACATACACACGTACATAAAACATTATACAACATACACACGTACATAAAACATTATACAACATACCCACGTACATAAAACATTATACAACATATATACGACGGACATTAGTAATTGCTACTAATGTGGCCCATATATAAGAGAACTAGACAACGAAATCCTGTCCACACTGGGTGAACTCATTGAGGGACAGGAGATTCTGGGTTTGGCAAGCGGGGACTGTACCCCCTAAGTTTGTGCAACGCCCTGGAATTCTCTTTGTTTTGCACTGTTAAAGAAAAATATGAATCAATTAAATAACCAAAAACGTACCCGAATAAGATCTAATTGTCTATATTTACCACAGTTTTACTAAATGTATATATAGTACATGTTTAAGCCATAACATCATAAGTTCAAGTAGTGTTAAATAATATTGATCCTCAAAAGAAAATGAGAATTTAGGTGATATAAGAAGCGAATTTATCGAATATTGTTATACTTTCATCAAATATCAAAAGAAGAATATAAACAAATACAAGTAGTTCACGGAGCAATCTGTGTAATACGGAATTCAATAAATTGGATATTCACTATGGAAATTGTATGTCTTCAGATCCTAAAATACACACTACTCTGTACATACTTTAATTCTCAATATAAAGTATTTATCAAATTTATGTATCAGTCCATAAAAAAATAACAATAAATCAGGTTGAATTACATTTCTTATAAGTTTAATAATTTTAACATATTTTTGACTACGTAATAAATATCAGCCTTTACTGAAAAATTCTAATGAAATTAGTCTTGTAAAACGTCTATAATGCAACTTCATAAGTTTCAAATACGTTAGCGAAATAACGAAGACAAAATATTTAAATACTGTATTACCCCTAATTATCGCCCCCCCCCGTTTTTCTTTTATAAAGCTTACCGTGTGTGACAGCAATAGGTTTGTTTGTTTGTTTGTAATTAAGCACAAAGCTGCACAATGGGCTATCTGTACTCTGGCTACCACGGGTATCGAAACCCGGATTCTAGCGTTGTAATTCCGCAGACATACCGCTGTGCCACTGGAGGGCGACAGCAATAGTAATCCAACATATAATCCACTTTTATTACCATAATTTTGATTTGGAAATTTAAAAAGAAGGAAAACAAATACATACACACACACACACACACAAACATACTTATTAGCATTGAAATCAACAAATCGCACGTGAGAAATAGAATCCGGAACTGCACAAATACTGTAATTACATTACTAATTAGCATTGGGATTCGGTAAACAAATACTTGGTTCATAGAGGATAAATTTATTCAAATTATTTCAAGACTTTTTCATTTTTCATGTTGGTATTAAAAAGTAAAGAATGTAAATATGTTAACCGAAAGTAGTTTGTCAATAAACTTTTTAAATATTTCAACATAATTTTCATTTATACCACTTCGATTTTCACATGACATTCAGGATCCACTACAGGTGGCGGTGTGAACGCTTTCCAAATGTCCGTGTTTCGATCATCTTTCACATCTTCGTGGAGATTTTGAATTATGCGCAAAGATTCCAGAAGTGATTTTGATTGGCCATTACGCATCTAGGACAGAAAATAATAAACTAAATAAAACATTTAGATTTTGTTATGTGTTAATAAAATATTTCATTTTTTCGTTTGGTTACGTGTAGAAACGTACCCCAGTGGCACAGCGGTGTGTCTGCGGACTTACAACGCTAGAAACCGGGTTTCTATGCCCGTGGTGGGCAGAGCACAGATAGTCCATTGTGCTTAACTTCAAACAAACGTGTAGAAACTAAGCAGTGATATAAGAGGAGTCAGCAAAATACATATTTATGATTGTGCACTCTATATATCTTAACAAAACTTGTCCTGAAAACGTTCACCGTACCTACTGTTAAAAACGACTATAAAACAAGATATATCTAGGTATTAATAAATATTTTGAGAAATATGAAAAGCTATTTAAATAAAGTTTAGTTTCTTAAACAAAATTGTAAGTCATTGATTTTATAAATGTTTTATAGTATGGTGTTCTTTTTGAAATTCACAAAAGGTGTTATGGTCCACTGTACACTAAACTTGGGCTTCCTGGTTTTTTCCAGTTTTAACCCTATTATCTAACTTTGTTTTATGTCGTGTAAAAGCGATGAATTTATTTTTTTAATTCATGATACTATTCTATCAAAATCTCAGAATTTTCTCCAAACTTAAATTACTATTTTAAGCCATAGTTTTGAAATAACAAGTATGATAGACTCTGTAGTGTGAAAGACTGGGTGATCAAGCATATTTTAACTAGATTTATTAATATTTCAAATTACTTGTGAAATACTGAACTATGAAATACTGTGTTGAATAATGAAGAGAGAGTAATTAACCTAACACTTCAAAGTATTGCGGTTAAATGACACACACCAGACACTTTTTATATTGGTAGCTAAGGCACACTTCAAGTGCGCAATGATCATTCATTACCTGTAACTCTAGCACTGTCTTTATCTGCAAACGGACCAAATGTGAACAAAGCCATCAAATTAAAAACAAATGATGAAATCATCAGGCAAGGTGGACAAGGCTTGGTATTTGTTGGATTCTGCACAATTTATGCACTTGGCAAGTGTCTTGTAGAACTGAAAAGCTCAGCGGAGAGCATCATCATAGATGTGCAGTACGTTATTCAAAACACAGTCTTGCAGAATGGAGGATTTCTCAAACAAGCTGGAGGAGCTGGGTGTGGAAGTACTTTCCTTCCTGAAATATGGCCAAGCCATATACCAACTACTCTAATACCAGCAATCCAGAGATTTAAGAAGATGTTACCAGGACTGGTCAAGTTTTCAAAAATGGCTGCAAAAGAGGACAAGACAATTGTTAAAAACAACAATTTCAGGATCAATGGAAACAAGGCACAGGTACTACTGATAGAGATGGCATTCTTGGAGAACCTGAAAGGCCCACTAGATATACATCTAATGGTCAGGCAGCGTTCATCTCCTATGGTACATGCCTAGTATGAATACATAAACACACTGCTCTCAACTCTAGTCATGAAGGAAGAGGTAACATCTTCCATTGAATGTGATGTCACTGACTATGAAAAGCAGAAAAGTGACAATGACTTGGAAATAGGAGCAGAAGCAAGGCTAGATCTTAATAAAGTTACATCAGAAACAGACAGAAAAAATCTTCTAGAAAGAATGAGGAAAGTCATGCAATCTACAGTGACTTATCTGCAGACTAAACTGCCATTGGATATCAAAATCCTGAAGTCAGTAGCATGTTTAAACCCTATGAATCAAAATCATGTCAATTCATTGGAACAAGTGAAATACTTAGCTGAAAAATTGTGTCACAAAGAAATTTTGTCAAGATAGCCGATGGAAAAAAAAGTGCTAATATAGCTTTTAATTAACGCAATATGAGCCTTTAATTTAGCTAACTTGAACCTTTAATTGTACAACCTTTGAGTCAAGAACTGAGTGACATGCCTGGACTTGTTTTTTTTTCTGTGTTGGTGTTCCAACCAAACCTTTCTCTGAAATAATCTAATGACTTTCAAAAGTTATTCGTGCTATCAAGTTGTTTGTTACTACAAGTCTCAATGTTTATAAAATTAATTCCCTGGTCTCGCCCAAGTGTTATTTATAACTGGTAGGGCGTGACCTAGTGGTTAGTGTGTCGGGCTGCAGGTCAAAAGATCTATGACTCGACACGCTCCAAACTTTCAGCTGTGGACATATTAAGAAAGCGGTAATCAGTCCCATTGTTCGGTCAATACTCTTGTGGCGGTTGATGGTGCTTACTGACCTCTTGCAAATAGTTCTATGTTAGGGACCTGCCTCTTTAGCCCACCTACCCATTGATTCAAAATTCCATTTTTCATTTATATATTGACTAAATATTCTATGACCACTCTTGAAATTCCTTGCATCGTTTTTACTATGTTATAAATAATTCAGATTTTTTCTTTACTTTATTGACTACGATCTCTTCATTTGGCATATCGATTGACCTTTTTTTTTGCACTTAGGTAAGCAAACCAATTGTTAATTAGATTAATTTTCTTAAATAAAATCATAACTTGCATACAGGTTCAATGTTGGTAGCAACATCATAATGATTGTGTATCTACAGTAAAGTTACTAATTACCACACCAAAAGTTTTTGTACAAACCTGATAATTTGTTTTATTAGAATATTCTGAAAAAGCTTTAATATTAATGCTAGCTAACTGGCGTAGCCGAATTTGCACGGGACGGTCCAATAGGCCGACGCCATATTGGAGAAGTAATGTATCTACACAAGTCTGCTGCACACAATTAATCATACTTGTTACAAAAGTATTTTTACTCAAGATACGTCTGCGAATTGACGACATCAATCTGACACAGATTCTAACAGCTCAGAGTGGAAAATGAAGTTTATATGACGAATATTTTTTTTCTCTCCATCGTACAGAATATCTGAAATGCATATCTATAGTTTATGTTTTTTCAGTATCCCTGTACACTGTATCTGGTATTTACTCTCCTATATCATGAACTACAGGGTATATCAGTATCCCTGTACACTGTATCTGGTATTTACTCTCCTATATCATGAACTGCAGTGAATATCAGTATCCCTGTACACTGTATCTTGTATTTACTCTGCTCTACCACAAACTGTCACGAAATCAGCAGAGTAGGGTAAAATGGATAGTTGATAACTAACATCTAATACATAATACCATGTTGAACGGCACTATGTAAAAGGTCGTGGCATACGCACTTTGACCCCAAACCATTTACATAGAAATATTGGTATTATAAAATTAACAAATATTACATTTTCTAGAATATTCCATACATTTCTACTTACAAGTGGACTTTATCGGTGTTCCTCACTTGTACAATACCACGGAACAGAGCAATAAAGGTAATTTATTGTCTCAACCATTCTGTGATAATCTATTATGAAAAGTTTCTCATAAGGAAAGAACATTATAATGATATTAACTACAGACTTCAAGGGTTTCTGGAAGTCTTTATTAATTACTATTGGCTTACTCAGAACGCGAAACGTTGGCCTCAAGCTAATCTTCACATGTTTACATGCGTCGTGAATCTGTTTCTTCCAAACAGGTGTTTAAATTCTGGATAACTTTCTTCAAATCCTACTTAGAAATCTATAAGAACCTAATGAAATATCAGTTTAAAATAGTTGACGGGTAATATTAACACACGTAGTTTTCTTTGTACGCAATTGTTTGTTTGTTTGTTTAAATTTAAGCACAAAGCTACACAAAGGGCTATCTGTGCTCTGCCCACCACGGGTATAGAAACCTGGATTCTAGCGTTGTAAGTTCGCAGACATACCGCTGTACCACTGAGGGCTTTGTATGCATACAGACACTAGTGTGTGACTCTCTTAAAGCTAATATTTTATAAGAAATTACGCGATTTTTTTTATGTGTGAAATGAAACTTACGTCAGCCTGGTCACCAACTTCAGGCGTCACTTTATCGGCGACTTGCCCTGTCTCTCCTATAACTACAACCGTGAGCAAAAGATAGAAGGTGGCTGAAAAAGGATTGAGCATCATTGTTACTGGTGGATGCTATTTTATCTATAAGGCTAGGAGCGACAAAGCAATGGCTTTAATATAAAAGCTACCACACACCCACGCTCCACTTACACCGCAGCGCGTGAGCATTCGTTGCTATGTCAGCGCATTTCCACACAAACTTAATATGTCATCCTGCAGTGAATATGTGTGCGCGTATGTGTGTCTATATTCTAAGTAAACGTTTTATAGAAAAATACATTTCAAGTCAGGCACTTATTCGCTGAGAAAAAAGTAGCCCAAGAGTTGACGGTGGGTGCTGTTGACTAGCAGCCTTCCTTTCAGTCTGTCAGTTCAAAATTAGGAACGGCTATTATACACAGATGTGTAACTCTGGGCGAAAATTCAAAAACAAAGAAATAAACGAAATATTATATTATTAATATAAATAATTTCAGTTTTTTTTTATATTGTTGATAATTTTGCATGACTTTAGAAAATGGCATTAGAACTACTTATATTGTTTAAATAACAAACTTTAGTAATTCATACTCGTGTAGGTGGGAAAACAATTTGTTTGTTTGAAGTTAAGCACAAAGCTATACAATGGGCTATCTCTGTTCTGCCCACCACGGGTATCGAACGCCGGTTTTAAGTTGTGCAAGTCTGTAGACATACCGCTCTGCCACTGGGGAGGATGCTATATATTAATACTTCGTACTTGTGTAGTTTAGAAAACAAATATTAATGCTTCATATTCAAGCAGTGTAAAAATAAATATTGGTCCTTCATACTTTAGAATACACATATTAGCAGCACTTCGTATTTAAGTAGTTTATTAAACAAATATTATTACTTCATACTAGTGTAGTTTAGAAAACAAATATTAGTACTTCATACTTGTATAGTTTAGAAAACAAATATTAGTACTTCATATTAGTGTAGTTTAGAAAACAAATATTAGTACTTCATACTAGTGTAATTTAGAAAACACATATTATTACTTCATACTTGTATAGTTTAGAAAACAAATATTAGTGCTTTATACTAGTGTAATTTAGAAAACACATATTATTACTTCATACTTGTATAGTTTAGAAAACAAATATTAGTATTTCATACTAGTGTAGTTTAGAAAACAAATATTAGTACTTCATACTTGTTAGTTTAGAAAACAAATATTAGTACTTCATACTAGTGTAGTTTAGAAAACAAATATTAGTACTTCATACTTGTATAGTTTAGAAAACAAATATTAGTGCTTCATACTTGTATAGTTTAGAAAACAAATATTAGTACTTCATACTTGTATAGTTTAGAAAACAAATATTAATGCTTCATATTCAAGCAGTGTAAAAATAAATATTGGTCCTTCATACTTTAGAATACACATATTAGCAGCACTTCGTATTTAAGTAGTTTATTAAACAAATATTAGCACTTCGTATTTAAACATTAGCAAAAAGAGTACTAGCAATATTGATATTATGACTAGAGGATCACAAAAACCAACGTTTTTTTGGCACAATGAAAGATAAAATTTATATCAGTAGTAAAATCCTTATAGTTCCGGTAACACGATTACCATTACCTAAGCTCTTATCTTCACTAATATCTCTGTAGACATTAGCGCCGATGGTGGTAACGTGTTACCAAAACTAGTCGGGTCTAACTAACAATGAAGATGTTACCTTTCATTGTGCCAATAAACGTCGGTTTGTGTGTTTTCTACTCATAATATAGTAGCACAATGTGCCTGAAAAGAAATTATTATCAATTCTTGCCTACTTTAGAAAACAGAATTTAGAAGTACATGTCTACTTTAGAAAATGAACATTAGCAGTTTGCGTCTTCTTTAAAAACGAATATTAGCAGTGTTTGTTTACTTTAAAAAACGAACGTTATTCGTGTTTAAAAATGTAAAAAATTAACGTAAGCAGTGTGTGTGTATTTAATAAAATGAACGTAAGCAGATTATCTATACTTAATAAAATTAACGCAAGCAGTGTGTATATACTTAATAAAATTAACGCAAGCAGTGTGTATATACTTAATAAAATTAACGTAAGCAGTGTGTATATACTTAATAAAATTAACGTAAGCTGTGTGTATATACTTAATAACATTAACGTAAGCAGTGTGTATATACTTAATAAAATTAACGTAAGCTGTGCTTTTATTTAATTAATTCTACTAATTCGCATTAGGCGAACACTAAAAAACACATCACACTATTTTGTAAAATACTATCTTCAATCTCCAAATCGAATTATCACTGATGTTCTCTTCTTCCTGAGATTAGCTATTATTAGTGATAAGTCTCAGGCTCTTTGACGATAAAAACTGGGTTTCGATACCCCTGGTGGCAGAGCACATTGTGTAGCCTAAAAATAACCAAACAACATCGTCTCTTCTCTTACTCTAACAACTTTCAAGTGTACATGTACCATGTTTTCTCTATCAATTATTTTACTGAAGAAACGTTTACAGTTGTACTCAATAATAGTGTCGCAGCAAGATCGCCTCCAACTGCATCCATACTCATAGTACACAGGACAAATGAGATTCGTTATAACAGTTATTTTTAAGAGTTCCTGTACGGTCCCGAGAGTGGTTATTTATTGGTTTGTTTGTTACAGATTTCGCGCAAAGCTACGCGAGGGCTATCTGCGCTAGCCGTCCCTAATTTAGCAGTGTAAGACTAGAGGGAAGGCGGCTAGTCATCACCACCCACCGCCAACTCTTGGGCTACTCTTTTACCAACGAATAGTGGAATTGACCGTCACATTATAACGCCCCCATGGCTGAAAGGGCGAGCATGTTTGGTGTGACGGGGATTCGAACTCGCGACCTACAGACTGCGAGTCGAGCGCCCTAACCACCTGGCCAAGCTATTTATTATTGATGTTTGTTTTTCTATATGAAGTAAATACGTTGTATTTTGTTTTCTGGAATACAAAACAGAAAATTGATATCCTTTGTACAAAAATTGTATATATACATATATATATGTATTAAGATTTTTGTCTTGTATACCTTGTGTTTCTCTTATGACGAACAGTTCCTAGTGTGCGTCATCAACGATACCAAAACGAAAAAAGATTAAAGGGAGTTTGAAATTCTTTCTGGTATTTTTGTTGCTATAAAACATATCTGGGACTATTAAAAGGTCCTGCATGAAGACATTGTTTCCTTAAATGAAATTAAAAGCCTCCCACATACACATGTACTATGGTCATGAGGAAAATAGTTGTTTGAATAGGATTGGACTTCAAACCAAACAAGTTAGATAATCAGTGTGATAACTATTCAGATTGTCAGCGTAGTTACTGTTCACCACCAGGTGATCAGCGTGGTTACCGTCCACTATTGGTGTTCAGTGTGGTTATCGTTCCTCATCAGATGATCAGCATGGTTACCGTTAACCATCAGGAGATTAGTGTCACCACTGTTCACCATTATATAACCATAGTGGTTAATATTCACTATCGTATCATTAGCATGATTTTATTATTCATCGTGATTATTGTTTACCTTCCCATCAAATAAATGGTATGTTATTATTCATCACTAGACTATTAGAATGGTTACTATTCATCGGGAGATCATCAACGTGATTATTG